CTTCAAACGAAGCCGTTGTGCAAAGACAAGACGAATTTGCTCCCTTATAAAATGCTGGAACTCATCCTTATTGGGCTCAGAAAATTGAATGGTGCCGCCGTTTTGCCTGGAGATAACTCTCAAGTTTTCCAGGTCAAAATCACACTGGATCCACTCAATGTCATGGGAAAGCAAATTAAGAGGGCCTTTACCTTGGGCTTTTCTTCTAGAATGGGTAGGCCAGTGTTGCCTAAGCCATTGTTCGAAAAACGGAATTCGGAGGGCCCTATGCCAGCCACACAAAGAAGCATAGATCATGGCAGCTTCCGGGTCGTGGAGGTGTGTCCTATGAAGGAAGAGAGCTTGTGCGTCATGCGTCGCAAAGTGTCGATCTGCACAAGCTTTATAAATGTGGTTACGGAGGACGGAAAGCTGTTTGCAAGTGGGTCGTACAATCATGGCAGCATATGCTAAAGAGGGTGCTACCTTAGCGGTAACAACTGTAGCTGCCTGATGGAAGGGAATCCTGGCCCTAGCGACCTTGTTCAAGGCGGCACATAGTCATTGGGTACCATAGTATCCCCAAATAAGATACTACTCACATACGGTGGCGGTAGATAACTTTGCTTGCCAGCAGCTATGTACACGTCACGTCTCAGCAATAGCTTGCAGGCTGAGCTTTGCTTGAACTCTCCCGGGTTGCTGTTAAGCACCTTAGATTACGTTACCATAATTTTCATACATAGTAACTAACACGGTTTCCCCAATGTAGTATAAGTTACCATAATGGGTATATATGTATATATAACTCATATGGTTTCCCCAATATAGCAACGTAAATTAAACTCCTTAACAGCAACCCAATCTCCTCACTGACAAGAGATGTCCAGAAAGCCCGGCCTGCGCTGGGCATCCTCCGTAGCGCCGATCCTCCCAGATTGTCGCGAAGCCTGTGCTGCTTTGATACATACTAATAACAATGATTATAATAATGCTAATAAATGCCAATAATAATGAGTTTTTTGTGTACTATGATTGGCCCAATAATATTACAAAAATACAAATTGTAGTACTATTCAAAATGATTTGAATAATTGTCATCATCATGTATTTGCCGCGAAGCCTTTGCTGCTGTGATGCATGTATCCGCCAAGGACACGATCAGGCTTTCCACGTCGGCTGGAGAGCAGTCAAAGATCAGCATGAAGCCGCGTATCTGCATGTCAGGGATCAGGAACTCTAAACACTAAACCTTAAACCCTAAACCTTAAACTCTAAACCCTTTTAACCAAGGCCCTAAACCTGAAACCCTAAACCCTAAACCCTAAATAGTAGTTTCCATTTTATTTTCCATTATCCCAATATAACCCTAATATCAGCTCGGGGAGATAAGCAACTTGCAGAGCCTCTTCCAGACGCTCCAAGAGTTCAAAGGCGTAGGCGTAGGTGGCCGCAGATGGATTCCGCAACAAAGACAGCTGCTCCAAAAAGAGTTCCATGATGGGCGGAAACCTACATGCAGAAGGCTCTCAAAGATGTACGCGTACACAAAAAGCATGAAACAAATGGAGCAGCAGACATCAGCAACTCTGGATCAGCGATCCCATGCAGCCTCTCGGTCTCAAAGGGAGGGGAAGGCACGAAGATGCGCAGCACCTCTCTCATGTAGTTTTCCAAACCAAAAGCAGTGCTTCAATGCTTGCGTCAACCCGTTTTACACCCTCCTGTGGGAAACACAAGAGGCGACTGTAGCACTGCGAGCGCCTCTGCGAGGCACTTTGATGCCCAGAGCCGCACTTCGCCGGAGGCATGGCGAATGAGATTCGGCTGGCAGAGAGTGCGAGCCGAGTCCGCGTCTCCCTGACCTGCAGGGAGCTCCGCAGTGGCTCCGCAAAGGATTCCGTCGGATTCCGGTCTCTCAACTCAGTGACACTTGAATTATGACTGTGGCCTTGCGGCATGAACTTGAGGGTATCGAATGCCTTCTGCAAGCTTTGCAGGGCATCCTCGCGAGAGAGTGTTGGAGCCTTAGTTCCGATGGGTGGCGCTGAGCCCTCTTGCAAGAGTAATCTGACTCAAAAGCAGGAATTCCCCCGGCATCTAACAAGATATCTGCCCGGATACTGAAGCGACACTGCTGGCAGTGCCCTTGGTCTTGCTCGGCATGGCTTTTGCGGCTTTTGCACGACCACCCGCCATCGCTTCGAAGCCCCAATTGCTGCAGCAGCACCACGAAGTGACAACACGCCAGAAACACATGCATGAAAATCATGCTATGTGAGCTGGCAAGCAATTGACTGGAGCTGTTGTCACCCATACTACAATATGTGAGCTTGTAGGCAATTTCGGGAGCTGTTGTCACCCGTACTACAATATACTAGACTACTGTACCATACTATACCATACCATAATTACTATAGAACACTAAACTATCCTGACAAACAAGCTCTCCTGGCCTCGTCGGTGATTGGGCATCTACCAGGCACACTCCCCATCAAAGCTTGTGCCAAACGCGCGCGTTCGAAGACAAGTCCCTGACAAGGACCAAGGCAGGCTGCCGCTGACAACTTGGACTTCAATGTGCTGGGCCTGAGGTGTCTGAACAGGATCCATCATCAGCTGACCATCCATGGCGCAGCAGAATTCTTGAGGGGCGCTGCATAGGAGAGCCTGGTGACCCACAATCTGTTCCCCAACCACAGCACCAATACTCACACAAAGACATGGCTAGGCGCAATATCCCTAAGCCCATCCATGTATAACCTCTATACATCCGCCAAACAACCTTATATAACATAACCCTATATCCCTAAGCCCATACTTATATAACCCCCATACATCCCCTAAACAATTTACACGACCCTACTTGCTGCAAGGTTTCCCACAACACGTTGGATCTGCCAACATCATCGCAGGTCTCGAGTCCCTCCTTGGCACCATGGGGTTGGGGAACAAGCATTGTGATAACAATCCACTCCTTGTATACAAGTACAATATTACCATATATTCCGTTATATCGTTATATAACAGTATATTCTAGTATACTATATCATAGTACTTTAAGTACACTATAGTATAGTTTAATAGGTTGTAGTAATAAGTGCAGAACCCATGAATCTGAAACGGTTGAGGTGCCCACCGTGTGCACAGGCTCAGGTGGAGTTGGCGGCAAGCCCTCCTTCGAAATTTATTGTTTCACTCAACCTTACATGGGATTAGTAGGGAATAAGGGAACATATTCTACATGGAGTTTATAAGGATTAGATAGGGGTTCCCTACAAACCCCCAGGAAGAAACATGCAGGGTAGCTTAGCGACCTCTTGCAGTCGAGCCACCACCTCCAGGATACTCTGCCCGAACAGGCTCTCCCTCTTTGCTGGCCCACGCCAACGCTGGCATTGCTCCGCGATAACACGCTGCTCATCCTGCACCACTACTTTCAGGGACCTTGGAGTTATAGGTCATAGATTATAGCTCCATGTTAAAGCCCAATCTAATTCTATGGTAACCCCTTGTAAGTAGGTTACCTCATCCATTCGTAATGCACGGTCACACCACGTACCCAAACATGGGACAATCTCAGAGCCATAAGGGTTCAGGGTTTCCGGTTCCCATTCTGAAGCATCCCCCTAGCCAGAAACCAAAGTCCGAGAGCCTACAATCCTTTAGGACTGCTTCATCGATGGACACATAAGCTATAGTCTGAACTCCTTGAACGGGGGTTATGTAAGGAATTATGACGGCGAGTGTTATAGGGGTTATTAAGGGGAATACTATTCTATTCTCAAGGGGAAGGGATTAGTCATGACTGGTCTGCATTGATGACGTGCAACGGATGCCAACGCCTGCGGGAGATCGTATATGTTGGTTGCCAGAGGGGTCTCTTCCAGTGAAGCTCCAGCATTCGCCACAAGGACCTCACCAACCATGCAGCGTCTCGTGGCAATCTGCATGTCCAGCCCATACTTCCCAGTATACTACTATTCTAGCCTATCATATGCAACAATATACTATGGCATATCTTAAGATACTATAGTATACTAGAATATACTATAACATACTATACTATACCAAACTATACTATGCTATACTATACTATACCAGACTATACTATGCTATACTGTAATATGCTATGAGGCTCCCGCGCAAAGCGCTGCCAGCACTTTGTGCTGTTGCCCAGGGTTCGAGGCCAGGGTTGCACTGACAAAGCCAGCCAACACTTGCCTCGCTGAAGGGTTTAGGGTTTAGGGTTTAGGGTCAGGGGTTTAGGGTCTAGGTTCAGGGTAGGGTCTAGGGTTTAGGGTATCACATGTGGGGGTTTCTCAAGATTAGGGGTACCTTTTTAAGGGGGTTGTAGGGGATATATAAGGTTTTATAAGGATGTATAGCGTTTAGGGCTTGGGGTTTTTCAAAATGAGGGGTGCCTTTTTAAAAGCCCCTCTACTAAGGATATGGGTATTTGGGGGTCCATATATTGGGGTCCCCCTAATTTGGGGAAACTACCATGTCAGCCCCACAATGCACACAATCCAGGCAAATCAAACTACACCAAAAAGGTTCCTCATCAACTGAGAAATCTGTATACACAATTTTGTGATGGCTGTGCAACAACCCTCCCACACATATCCCATCGACATATTCAGATGCAACAGGACAATGGAACGACGATTCTCCTTGACACATTGCCCGTATGGAGTTTCTCAAGTCCTGGCCTCTTCCACCCTACAAGGGAGACCCCTATAATCTCTTCATGATCCTGAATAAAAAGCAGAAAGCCCTACAACATATATCTATATTACCCCCCCAATCCCTGGAGTATATCATATCCCAAAAAATCCCCTGGAATACCCTTGAAATCTATCCCCAACTCCCTGAAACTGAAGAGCCCTTTTGGGCGGTCGAACCTGGTAAGATTACATGCCTCATATAAAATACTCTACCCCGCAAGGAGGATATAATCTTACTCTATGCTGGGGGCTACAGTATCTTAAATAGAACACCACCCTAAACCCTAACCCTAATCCCTAAATCCCAAACCACCCTCAACCCTAAACCCTAAACCGCCGTTCCCCCCCCAATCCTTGGGGGAGGAGCAAAGAAGGCCAGGTCGGCAGTCGATCGCAGGAATTGAAGAGTTGGGGTGCCTTAGGGCTTGGGTTCGGGGATTAGGGTTCGGTGATTAAGGTTTAGGGTTGAGGGATTACGGTTTAAGGATTAGGGTTTAGGGTTTTGGATTTAGGGTTTACGTAGGTTTTAGGATGTTTTAGGGTTCAAGGATTACGCTTTCGGGTTTAGGGATTTGAGATGAAGGTTTCGGGTGACTGTGGATTGATAGGGGTTATGTAAGGAAATTACTTCATGTCTCAAGATTTTGGGTTTAAGGCTTGGGGCTAACTAGCGGGCCCCATACACAGACCCAAATATACTAGAATCACTAGACTCCTTGTTGTACTAAACCCTAAACCCTAAACCCCTAAACCTAAACCCCTAAACCCCTAAACCCTAGGGCCCCTAACTTTGGCAATCCCTCGCCTGGAAGCAGCCCAGGAGCCCTTGCCAGCAGACACCTGGGACAGGGTGTGCAGGAGCATATATAGAAATGGGTTTAGGGTTTAGGGGTTTAGGGGTTTGGGGTTTAGGGTTTAGGGTTTAGGGTTTAGGGAAATATATAATATATAACAGCAAATGAAAAAGAAGGAAACAAACATGTTATTTACGGCATGGCTCAGGGCTTTGTGTGTTTTGGTGGGTGGACCAAGTAAGACGAAAGTTCAACTTTACAAAAATACCATTCGAACATCATGACCAAAACGAAGATACAATCTTACTCTATAGTAGGGTCTAGGGAATCCCCAAAAGCCTAAACCCTAAACCCTGATATATACTTAGATTGGGCAGGAAGGGGGATGGGTGGGTAGCGCACCAAGCAGCTCGGCAGCTCCCACTACACCAGAACGCGGTTTAGGGTTTAGGNNGGTTAGGGTTGAGGGTTTAGAGTCCTTAATGCCCATTGGCAGAAGTCACGGATTTGAAGGTTGAGATACTGACTCTTGGTCAGTAGGAAATAAAGGAATATGGTAGTTTGCTTGACTAGGGGGACGCCAATATAGACCCCCCCAAGTACTATAGTTCTCATGGACAAATTTCCACTAAAACCTTGCGGGGCCTCATTCAGATTACCCCCAAAAAGGCCCCAGTCTTTTAAAGGGAAGTATATGATGTCCCATGTACGTTTGGAGGAGGGTGGGGGCTTTGGGGATTTAGGCTTCAGGAGGTTCAGACCCTATTTACAGTCCCCCTTATTGGACTTGTATTGGTAGCCCAACGATTAGCAGGACAAAAGCCTGTGTTATAAGGAGCTACCAAATCCCACGAACCTCCGAGCAACTAAGGACTAGAAGTGAAAAACATTGGTCAAATCAGCTTACAGTATATGGGTGCATATGCCTTATGTCGATGCGATATGATACATTTCAAGAGTCGTCGAAGCTGCAACAGAGCTGCCTTCACCCGAAACCCTGAACACCGAGGCCCACGGGCTACGGCTTTAGGGTTTAGGGTTTAGGGTTTAGGGTTTAGGGTTCAGGGTTTAGGGTTTAGGGTTTGGGGTTTAGGGTTTGATGTAGTTGCCCCACTCAAATGTCAACGTATCACTGGACTCCGCGAGAACCCTCAGCAAACACTACCTAAGCCAGCAACTACTGTTGGTACATGTTGGTACATAGGTATGCAACAAGTGTGTGATGATTTTGGTGTTGGGTGTCTTTAAGAGATAGACAGCACATTGTGGTCATCGGTCTAAAACCGCGGCAGGTGTTTTTTGGGGGGCGTGCACAACGGAAGGACATACATGCTTCGAATAGGTTTATAGGTGGCAAATGGAAAAACACAAACTGGGGAGCAATAATACTGTACCACCCAATTGTATAGCTACTGACAGCATGAAAGCTATGCGAGCTTTTTCAGGCAAGCATGATTCTGTATACGGGGCATGTGCAACAACTCAGCTAGTGACAGCATGAAAGCTATGCGATGCGAACTTTTTCAGGCAAGCATGGATTCTGTATACGGTGCATGTGCAACAAATCAGACAACCCTGACGCTCGCTGCTGTCAACGTTGAGAACTCTCAGTCAACCCGGCGTCGCTTGAGAGCCGAAGATGTAGTCACGCTGCCCGTGCTTGCCAGATTATGGCCAACATCGTCCTCCTGCAGCAGGCGAACAACTTCCAGTTGCCCTATGCGCGAAGCCACATGCAGCGGAGTTGAACCATCATCGGTGGCCTTTTCCTTGTCTGCACTGGCCTCGAGCAGCAGGCGAACCACTTCCAAGTGGCCTGTCTGCGAAGCCACATACAGCGGAGTTGCACCACCGTTTCTGGCCTTGTCCTTGTCAGCGTTTGCTTCCAACAACAAGCGAACAACTTGCAAGTGGCCTCCTTGCGAAGCTGCATGCAACGGAGTTGAACCATTATCGGTGGCCTTATCCTTGTCGGCATTGGCCTCCAGCAACAAGCGAACAAACCTCCAAGTGCGCTTGGTGCGAAGCCGCGAACATCGGAGTTTCGCCAAGAGCATCAGTCGCCTTATCCTTGTCGGCATTGGCCTCCAGGAATAAGCGAACAACCTCCAAGTGCGCTTGGTGCGAAGCTACGTACATCGGAGTTACGCCATGAGCATCAGCATCAGTGGCCTTATCCTTGTCAGCCTTGGCATCCAGCAGCAGGCGGACCACTTCCAAGTGGCCTTTGTGCGAAGCCATGTGCAGCGGGAGTTGTAACTCCAAGTTTCAAGTCCGGATCTTGTGGCCTTTGCAAAAGCTGCTCTATCACGAGGATGTTGTTGTCCCCGGCAGCCTGGTGGAGTTGCTGAATTTGGTCCCTGGAGCTCTCCTCAAAGGGCCGCAGTATGAGCTGGGCATCCATGGGGCCGTGAAGAACCGCATCATCCATCAACATCTGGCCCTCTGAATGCGCTAGCCGCTGCTTGAAGCGCGGCTGCCCAATGAGGCGCTGCAGATGCCGCTTGATGGCTAGTACTCGGACTGGATGTTCATGTACCATGTCCACAAAGTCTGCAAACGGGATGGCGAGGGCAGCTTCGCCCGAAACCATGAACACTCGCAACATGTAGCGCTGGATTCAAAAAAGGAGGGCGCGAACATGAGCAGCACTTGCGACAACGGCTTTGGCTTGAGCCAAGTCTCTGCAAGCGCATCTGGGCGTTACTATTGCTACTGCCAAATGACCTGTACATTAGCAACCGAATTACGTATACGGGAGATGCATTGCAGTAGTGGTAATTATATATTAATTACCTTGCACTCGGGTCCACTCGGGTCTCTAATGAGGCAACTGAGAAACTCCCATATATTACAATGCATAGGGAGCATATTCCCTTATTCTCACTTACCACCAGCGATATCCGAAGTTTGGGCCACTTTTGACGAAGTGGCAACCTTCGCTAGGGTCCAGAGATTTAGGGTTTGGGGTTCAGGCTGCAAAGTCTTGCTCTCACCCACGGTAACATGAGCTTTCGTCTAAACTCCTCGTATCCCCCTGAATAAACCCCATAAAGCTCCCCTCGTGGCAAGTGTCCCCATAATCTAACCCGTGATAAATCATCTCCCTCCGAAGTATTAGCTACCCAATATTCGGATCCCTATTATATTCCCTATGAAAACCCCTAAACCCTAAAGCCTTGAACCCTAAACCCTATTATATTCCCTATGCGAACGAGGCGGTTATATTGGGTTTATATGGGGATACTAGAAAATTGGTTATATAGAGTTTGTATACGGTGCTGCCTCCGGGGGCCAGATGCATCGACAAACATGAAATAACTGGAAACGTCGCTGAACGGAGGCCATCACTGTCTACAAGATCATAAAGCACAAGATGAAGAGAGGAAATGCCGG